GTGACGCTGTAGATAGTCCTTTGTCACTTTTGCTTTATGGACAGGAGCATTGTCATGCAGAAGTTTAATGCCTCTCAAGGCGGTATTTGGTCGTATTTTGTTTTGTAAAATTTATAACGTCTCGGAAGTATACACGAAGAATACATATTTCCAGTGACACAGTGGACTGCATATTGAACTACTAATCCATTAGAATTAAAAAATATTGCGTACAGAGCTTTCTTGGAAGTTTGATTTCTTTTTGCAATTGTTGGCCTCTTCATATTCTTTGCAATCCAGACTTGATTTTTTACTTTCCTTTCTGGCTGGAAAAAGTGGACCCACGTTTCGTCACCTGTGACAATCTGACTAAGCTTCCTATTGCCCATATCTTTAAACATTTTCAAAAGTTTTTGGCACTTTTGTAAACGATCTCGTTTCTGAGCTTTGGTAAGTATATGTGGAATCCACCTTGCACAAATTTTACTGTACTTTAATTTAGATTTTAAAATAGTAAAAACACTACCCGTTGAAATTCCTACACATCTTGCTATTTCTTTGACGGTAAGTCGTGCATCTTTCTTAAGAATATCACGGATTTGGGAAACATTACTTTTGGTGACTACTCTTGGCGGTCTTCCTGAATGTTTGTCGTCGGAAATACGTGTTCTACCACTCTTAAACTTGCTAACCCATCTGTAAACTGTCTTTTTTGAAATAACAGACCCACCATATATCCGAAAAATTTCTTCATATATTTCATTCGTTCTATACCAAGGGTACAACGAGCAATAATATACCTTCCAATTTCAAGTGACTCCAGACCTCGTGTTTTACCCATACTTGATGTCCGGTGTATTCGGGTAGGTCATTTGCTATTGTAAGTGTTTGTTTCAGAGTGCACGGACTTGTTCCAAATTTTGACACAATGTCAATAAAAGATATATTCATTCAGAGATGACCAAATCCCGAATTGACTGTCCTAATTTATATTAAAAACCATAAGGGACAAAAAATATTGAACGCCCATCGTAAAAAAATTAACTTTTGATCCAATAACAGTAGAGACTTGGTATTTGGACATAGTTATAAGGAGTCTCCATTCTTTAAACACAATAAAGGTCAAGGTCACATCAATGGGTCAAAGGTCAAATATTGTGACGTCATCTAGTGAATTTTTTCATTTTTTGCATTGAATTTTTTTAAATCGCCAAAATATATGAAACTGTCGGTTCAATTTTCCTCATTTTGACACATTTTAATCTAGGTTCCATTGCAATCATTCTGTTAATTTTTTGTAAAAATTGCATCATACATTTTCTCTTAAGAGAACCTAATGTGAAGCATACTTACATGTGAATTTTCAATTCCTGGGCTATGTAAGTTCTATTCTTTCATAACATTTTACTCATATATACCGGTATTAATATAATCTACTGAAATTTAGTAACAGAAAGCTTGTATTTATAAAAAGCATCACACAAATTTGCAATAGATCGATTGGTAATTTTTATATAATGCACAAACTCAAGTCATATGCTTGATTTCACAATCTTCTTACAGGGGCCCGATAGGCCATATTGCAAACTATGTTGGCAAAATATGTGTGGTTGAATTTCTTTCATATTAAATTAAAAGAGACATTTTGTAACCTAGAAGAAAATTTCAAAGTTTCAAAATAATTGAATTTGCGGAAAAATTTGGTCTATTTATTGTGTACTACCTTAAAATACCGACTGAAATGTATTCCATTTTTCCTGCATAAAATCAATATGAGCTAGATCAAATTAGATTTGAATTATTTACGACAGATTAAGTAGAAATAAAATCTAGTACATTTAAAACTACAAGTCAAATGTTAACACCGTATAGTTTTCCAAGTAATCAGAGCGGGTACTCGTTTTTGTGAAAAAGGTACAAATGGAATAATTGATGAATGATCTAAAAATAAGAGTTGATAATTATTAGGGATGGCAACGAATATTCGAACATTCGAATATTCATTCGATGAGTTGATATTCGAATATGAATTTAAGATTCGAATATTCGGTGTTTTTCAGATTTCATAAAAAGAAGTACCGTGATTAATAGATTTTGATTAGAACAATGCTGGAATTATTCCTGTTCAATTTACTAGCGATCAATTTCGATCGACTGATTTCTTTCACTACTTTCTTATCTTATAAATCGTCTAAATTACATGTATTTTGTTTTGAGTAAGGTGTTGTAAAGAATTGTACAATAATGCTTTATGTATATAATACAAAACGTACTTTCATAGTTTTTATTAGTTAGATCCGATCGGATCTAGAATCGAGGACAACAAATGAAATCTAAGAGTATCTAAAAGGCGTGAAGAGTATAATTATCAAAATAAAATTAATTGATCATTGAATGAATGTCCGATAGAATTAATCTGTAATTAATATTGTAAAGGGCTTAATTTCAGAATAAATGTGTAAATTACTTGATTATCTCGGGTTGTACATAATTTATATTCATTATCGGGAAAACAGTAATTGTCTATGGAAATATTTGTTTACATTGTATCAAAGATGATAATCATATCTCTTATCAGGCAGATAATTGTAATTTATTACACGTATTGAAATCTGAACAGTATACCGTTACGGCTATCTTGCCTTTTGTGAGACGATTGGTTCCTCAGGTAGGGCTACTATAAATACACGTTTCATTTGTTAAAATTATACTTTTCTACATTTAAATCAATTATTTATTTCAAACAGTGACAAATATCAAATGGAATTTCTTATTGTACACCTACAAAAGTTTTCATATAATTTTACTTCCTATATAAGTATACCTACGAGAGTAGGATGATGCATATTTAAAATAAAACAGATTTTATTTATTTTATCGAATATTCGAATATATTCGAATACTTTCATTGAATATTCGAGTATGAATTATTGACAAAATTGACATCCCTAATAATTATGTTTCCGTTTATTATAGTTTAGAGTTGTTAACTATAGTTTACTAATCGTGAAACTGCATCTTTCAAATAAACCAAGTTTTCCCTTGCAAAGAATTATTTTCACTTTTAAGCATTGTTTACTTTTAAGAGACATAAATTGTGGTATAAATAAGTATGGTTTAGGGATGTTAAATATAGATTATCGTCATCGACTACAGTTTGTGATTAGAAAACTATAGTTTACAGTTAACGAACCTCGTTTATCAATTGAAAAAAAACTATGTTTACCTTTTGTAAATTTGGCGTTCCATATAGGCATCCGTCTTAGCCAATCTCGTAAAAAGAGTTACTAAAACGTTAATTAATCGATTGATCCTTAGTAAGCTAATCAAAATCTTAGTAAAAACATCCTCTTCAACTTATTAGCCCAATCATAAATTGCAAAAAATAAACTATGGTTACTGTTAGAACTCTGTAATCGGTTAGTCGGAAAAAATGAAAATATGTGTAAATTTCCTTAAAATTCAATTTACAATTTAAAAAATCTATGAATGTTGATAAGTTATAACGTTTTTATACATACATATAATTAGATATAATTCATGAGGACTCTTCGGACTGAGGTGTTGAGGTAATTGGTCAATTTGTGAAGTGTTAATTGCTGTTTAAACATCATGCCGTTTCCCAGCTTGTCCTCTACAGGTATTTCTTTAATGATAATAATTAATTCACCTTTGAGTATTGTAAACTGATTACATTGTGTATCTTTTGCAGTTATCTGCCAAATCAAATTTTTATGGAAACATTGTAAATTAAGTAATAGTTTGAAGAGGTTCCTTCATGAGCTTTTGAGCAGATTTTTGTCCTGACCTGTATTTAAAGAAATCTGCGTAATGGTTTAGTTCTTATAATATTTGGATTTTACAATACAAAATAAACTATATTCATTTAAAACCCCATGATTTAATTGAGCTATGTGTGTAGATTCTAAAAATACACTTGATAAAAAATTCTCAATAATTTTGACAGCAGGATCCAACCTCCTTAAAATTTGTTTCTCTTTATAGTGACAATGTAGAATGGACGTATGTAATGTTTGGGGGTCGTCAGAAAGTTATCAATGTCCTTGATGCATGTATCTCGTGGATGTTTTATGGTTTTCCTTTCGAAATTGAATTAAAATACGTAAAGTATACATATCAAGCATAAACAGATTATTATTATTAATGCCCTTTTTTCTTTTCTTTTTTTAGTTATATATTAATTTATTGGGAGGGGGTATGAATAGAATTAATTTTTAAAAACAATGTCAAGAAAAAGTGTATTTTGTTACGATTAACCGGTTAATCGGTCGGAACGTCTTACGGTTAACCGATTGGCAATTCTGTATTCGATTGCCATCCCTAGAACTTATAATAAATAGTCTTCCCTTCATAATTTCAAGCTAATGTCAAGACTTAACGTAGCAATCTTGTGATAAAGAAAATATAAAGAACTGGATTGTGTAAGTGCTGAAATTGACCTTCAAAATGTGATAAAATCAAGCTTCTTGACATGGAATACTGGATGTATTTATTTAGAGTAACGAAATTGGTTCTGAGCATGTGTTTGAGAAATGTTATAACAAACAAGTTGATGAAACAAGAATATCAGCAGTCTCGTTTAAAATCATCATTTTGTAAGTTCTATGGTCAGTACAATGACCATGTCAGCAAATACAATTTATCATTGAGTCAAATGCTGACTGACGTTTTTCATACTAATTGTTAGGCCATTATTTACACACTGAATTGTCGACGCATTTTTCCGTTATTTCCCGATCATGACAAGGAGCACACGGCGGGTGTGACCGGTCGGCAGGGGATGCTCACTCCTCCATGGCACCTGATCCCAACTCTGATGTTTTGGAGGTCCGTATTTGCTCTGCACCTATTTTGTAATGTTTAATGGACTTTTGAGCTTGAATACTGTTCATTATCTCCATATATTTCATTCCATTATAAAATAAAAGAAATGAAAAACATGAAATTTTCAAAGTTTTTAAAAGCGTTAATTTTATTAACCCAAGCTCCAATAACAAAAAAAAAAAAAAAAATGATTATGATGTTTCATATAAACAAATGGACAGTAGTTAGAAATTACTTTTAAATCAACAATTCTATATACAAAATAACTGTCCTGTTATTTTTCAAAGAGTATATCTTCATGGACCATTGCTGTAATACTTTATGTCAACACACGAGAGGAACCTAAAATGAATTTCTTTAAAAATCTATTTATAGTATAAATCATTTAAGCTGGATATGTCTTCACGGTGCCTTTAATGAATGCTCTGCACATTGGACATTTGCGCATCGCGGGTGAGCAGTGGGTACAACAACACAAATGACCACATGGCAGAAAGGCAATTGCAACGTCCTCCTCCATGCAAATCTGAAAACATTTTGTAAAGTTCAGGAAGAATGTGAATCCTCTCAATGGATCTTAATTATATCAAATATTAATGTACTTCAAAGTTAACAGATAATTGCTGACAGATAAATATTTCATAACTTAGACTTACTGGACACTAAAAACATTTGAACTCACCCTGCAAAGTCTTTGTTCTTTAAGTCTTCGATTTTCTTCAATCAAAGTCTGAGTGTCTTCTGAAAAGAATGATAAAAGAACAGAAAATATATAATTCTATACAACTACAAGTTATATACAAAATTTTAATTTGACAGAGAAATAAACTGGAATACTAGTATTGAAATTCTAAGTATGAATCCTGGTAAGTTGTCTCAGTTACGTCAACTTGAAAATTAAAATTCATAAGCATGTTACATGTAACATATTTCATCGCAATGCTCAATGGCAATATCCCTAATATCTTTTTAAGGTTTTCCTAACGTTTGAGAAAAATTAATATAAAGTCCTTATATGATGTTGCATATAATTAATGTTAAATATTATACAAGCGCAAATACAGTATACAAACATTAATAATGAAATATGATGTACCATTCAAAGTCATAGCTCCAACTTCCTCAGATAGCCCGATGGTTGATGGTGAATTACTAGTTTGGCCTAAAATAAAGATAGATTCAATCATATTATTTTCTCTGAATTTACTGAAACATGAAAAAAATAACTAAATATAAAAAAGTTCTAACTTGTCTCATTTCTACTGTACGCAGAAGGCTGTGGGATAGAGCCTTCTTTATTCGGATAACTCATTTCTGGATCATAGGCAGACGTTGAGGAGCTGTTCACCAGAATTTCTTCTATCAACTCTGCAGCTGTCACGTCTTAAAGCAGCATGTAATATATTAAGAAAAATACGTAAATTTAAAAAGAATTTCAAACACCATCTCATTTAAGATATTTTCAATTATTATACAATGACTTTTTATGTATCACCACCAATGTACTCTTCTAGATTTTTTTTTTAATTTAGAAAAAAATATTTATTTTATTTGCAAGACAAAAGCAAAACACATTCGAAATAAATTTATAATTTTCTAACCTGTCACATTCTTATGCAGTTTTCTGTAAGTTTCCTTGATCGTAATCCACGTGTATCCCATCTGAAGAATTTCTTGGGCAGCTGGAAGTTGTTCAATATCTGCATGCGCTTCTTTTTGTTCTTGAGAGGAAATATCTTCCAAGCCTTCGGCCTGAACGCGCTGTATCAGATTCACAAAATCCTGTCCTCGATTTTGAATCAAGAAAGGACATTTAGGAAACCATCTAGCATGTTCTACCCAAGCATCATCGCCTGGCTCCCAATTGCGCAGCCCTCCTAAATAAAAAAAATCATACAAGAGATTTTTCCATGGAAGATGATTAAAAAATCTGCAATATGACAAAATATTCATATTGCTGATTTTTATTTGATTCATTGAAATATGTAAACATTCTCCGAACCTGGATTTGTAAGCAGGATAAATATCCTATAAATTTCTAAAAAAGAGTTTTACCTCCACAAAAGAAACATCGAACATAGTCACCGTATCCAGCATAAAAGAATCCTGCAAGACTAAGGTCCCTTGGTGTTTGTGTCAAATGCGACGGCCATTGCTGAAAACTGCTGATCCTCGTCGCCAGTACGGAGTAGCTTGGATATTTTGGCCTGTCAACAACAATGCCAAGAGGTTCTAAAGCTTCTTTCAAGTGATTAGGCTGTGGAGTGCATGGCTGAAAAAGACCTGAAAGACTGGGATTATTTTGTGCATATGGACTATAACCTCCCGATGGCTGCTTTAGGGGTTTTCCCGATATCTGCTGTGCATGTGGCGCAGCATGTTTATTGTTTACTCCAGAACAGATAGATTCGGAATACAAGTGATTAGTATGGTTACTTTCACTTGATCCAACTGGAACATTTGTATCCTCCTTTCCATGCACATGACGACAGCTTGGTGACAACTTTTTATGTAACTCTGTAATGTTTTCTCTTGTCCAATTTGAATGATGTAATCCACATGAAAAACAGACACATTCTTGGTTTTTTCCCGTGAAATAAAATCCAGAACGAGCAAGTCGGACAGAACTTTGAGAGGAATTCAGAGGAAATGTGGAAAATGACTTTATGCGCAGCCATTCATATCTCATCTCATCGGTAACATCTCTATTCCCAAGGGGAGAGCGAAAATATCTGTCCAATGAATGCATTTGTGCATATGGTGGGAATATTTATTTCACTATTTGTATTCGAAATGAGGGTTGTTTTAAGATAGTATGATGCAAACAACTTAGGGGTCAGAACTTCTATATTTCGTTTTGACCTCCTCGTTAATTGTTAACTAGTGCCTTAGGTGGTACCTGCTTTGTGCGTTTTGTAAAGTCAGTTAAATCGTGGATTCTTTCTTTTACACAAAACCTTTAGAATCTTAATGCTGACGATGTCATGTAAAGTATCTCTTCGTGACATACACATACATGTTCCCATCTTTGCCAGTTCTGTAGGAATAAAATAATATATAATTGATGTTGAGAAATACATGTTCACAAGCATACACATGCACAAACATTTATTTTAAATTCATTGATTATTTTTAAATGACTTCACAATCTTCATCATAACCTATGGTGTCTGTTTTCAGTAGCAATATAGTGAATAAAGTGAATATTATACAATTATTGCTGGTTGTTGAGGTCAATACGATGATTTAGACACCTGAGGAGTACAATATTCACCGAGCCCGAAGGGCGATGTGAATATTGTATTTCGAAGGTGGTTAAATCATCGTATTGACCGAAAAAAACAGCAATAAGTGTTTTATTATATGATTCAATGATTAAATGACACACACCCATTAAGCAATCCGTACCATCTTTGACTAGCCTCCCCCCTCCAAAAAAGAAAAGAATTCTCCCAACTCAAAATTTTATTTAGTGGGATATAAAGGTTCATAAACGAGGGGAGGGGGCTTTCATTGAAATTTTTTATCCTTAAAATTTAAATTAAAACTTTACATTCTCAAAAGGTGGGGAGAGGGGCAGGCCTCCTGCAACCCCCCCCCCCCCCCCCGTTCACCCAAGAATCTAATATGTGCCTTAATGTTATGTTCATATGAGTGGAAGTCAGGTGCAAGTTAAACAACTTTTCAAAACTATATGCATCAATTTGGAATTTCCTTATCTATTTTGGGTCCAATGTTGAATAAATGATTCCTTATATTGACCTGGAAGGTCAAGTGCAGGTCAATATAACGTAGTATTTTTCTAACATTGTTGGATCTCAGCCAATCAGAGAGATGGAAATTATTCAATCATATAATAAATTTTGCTCGATCATCATTGATATGATATACGTCATTTGAAATGTGTTATTTGCTAGAATTATTTAGTGTGAAACATAATGTCATATTTCTGAATGCAATGTCGGTATTGTTAGATCAAACTACATATATTATATTGAAAACAATATGTAAATTTAAACAAATATAAGTTCAATAGTTTTCTCCGTGTTGAATTTTTTTTCATTTTAAATGTAAACATGCTTTCCAGGATCGTTTTCTGTATACTGTTGATGACATATACATTGTATATACCAAACAAACAATTTTAAGATAAAAATCTATCTTACTTTTATATCATTTCACTTGTATTTAAATATTACAACATTAGTAAACTTGTCTAATCAGTGTACGATTGAAATAATGAATCAAATTTAACAAATTGAAGGCTCGTGAATATAGATGGTGATGTAAATTGCTCATTATGTAATAACTTGTATTGGAATACTTATTGATATAAGCATTTCATTATCTTCAACTGATTAATGTTTATGCTATTCCATCACATTAAAACATTCATGTAAAAATTGAATTAAAAAAAAAAAAAACTTACGAGAATAATCTCATTCTTCTGATAGAATTTTTAAATCGAATTTTCCTCTTGGACATGTGCAGTCAATATGTTTTGTTTTGATTTGTTTTTCTTTAAATTATTAATGCTTTTTAAGCTAGAACTTATCAGGCATTACTTTGAACATAAGAATCTCAGCATAGTTTTCTTCAAATTATCCTGTCATAAAAAGCTTTACCCATTTTTGTGTATACATCTCTGTGACCTTATTTGATGAAAAATGTCTAAACCGTAATCTAACTGGTATTTAAAGTGTTCCGAAAAAAAAAACCCGAATAATGTTTATTTAAATCTCAATATTACACAACGATATGAAACTAAACAAAAATTTATACATGTATATCAATCAACAATTCTAGACTATTTTCTCAATCAATATCATTTATTTAGAAGACGGAACGAAGAAAGAAAGATAAATGAAGTTTTCTATTAATTCCTTTTTGCATGAAAACCTTGGTTGTTAATGTACAACTATTTGAGTAAAAGGACCTGTCCAAAATCATTATAGCTCCACTAAGAACTTATTTATAATGAATTTGAAAAAAAAGAATAATAAGGCATTTATTTGCCATCAAAGGAGTAATCAGATCAGCTAAGTTGTTATATAACAGTGATTTTTTTTTTTTTTTTTTTTTTTTTTTTTTTTGCATTTTATACTTACGTACTTCCCTTTTTCACTTTGTTGTTTGTAAACAACCTTGATATATTTAAATCCTCGTCATTCAAGATATCACGTGATAGCGTGATATATATAGCTTATATACCTTTTAGAAGATAGTGTGAAGATGAATTGTGTGATAGCACACACTTCATAATTTGTAACAATTATTTAACATAGAAACAACCACGGAAAACATGACCTAGTTTCATGTTTGTTATATTTGAGGTTTATATCGAGTTTTTAATATTGCTGTGAGAAGAATTTTATGCAACAAAAAATGAGTTATTTTCTCATAAAAATGTGATGTGGAAAATACTATTTCATGAAGATACTTACTAGTAATGTGCGTCATTTTTTTAAAAAATATTTTTGGAGATATATAATGATATAATAATTTTATTGGCCGTGTCTGTTCATACATGATTTTTTTGCTAAGGAATAAATGTATATTACATGTATGATAATCAATCTATTAATCTATTAATTTTTCATTGAGTAGTGAAAAAAGTATTCAATACTTCAGAAAAGTTGCTGATTGAGCTTGATGGTAAAGAAATAATTTTATCAACATACTCGGCCAAAGCTTCAGGCATTCAGCATAAAATTCACCTTAGTTTTTAGTCTGAAATTTGCATAATTCGACCCATGTCTCGAAATTTACATCACTGGCTCTAATTTTTAATTTCATTTTTGAAATTACATGATACTTTTCACCGATCAGCATTAAATTGATAAAAAGCTTGATATAAGAAAATGTTTAATATAAAAGTTACAATTTAAGTGCAAAAAAGTAAGGTTCCATTATACTGTTCCTTAGTAATATGAACACTGACCCCCCCCCCCCCCCCCAATATCCAATCATTGAGTTACATATGTATGCTGTATGAGTAGATATATACGAGTAAATAATATTATCTAATATGTACTTCTCAAAAAAATAAATAGATAAATAAAAAGTAATAATAAAAAAAAAACAGTGTCAAGAATGACATACCTTTAACTTCTATCATTTTATGCATAGCACAATGGTCTTGCTTTGTTCTAGAGTCACACAGTAGGTCCTTACGTTAGTTAAACTATTTTTTTTTTAAAATAGAATGGTTTTAAATACTGATAATACAAAATGCTTGCTAATGTAGACACATCAAAGAAAAAAGAACAAAACTATTAAGTTAATGCTAGCCATATCTTCCATGTTCATGATACCCGACTTCTAAATGTTGAAAACAGTTCATTTCAATAAACATATAGACTAAATATGCCATTCTTTAACATATAAATCTAAAATCCTTACTCTGAAATCTAATCTGATTGCTTTACAATATATATTTTATTGCTCAATATTAATTTCTATCTTGCTATTAAGGGTAATACAAAGACATTTGTTTCATGGAGACTTCAAACGAGACAACTGATCATTGCTATCATTGCATCTTTTGATTTTTTGGGCAGGTATTTGTTCATCATGCCTTATCATCAAATGTATCTTTACCTCATTTTGTTATTACTTAAAAGGAATGTGATTGTTATTCTACTTCGATTTGCTTATTAATCGAATTTTTGCTGTTATATCCCCGGTCAGTTTGAATAACTCTCATTAAAGACGTCAAAATTCTATGGACTTGCAACTCATATGACAATTAGAAGTATTCATGTCGCATTAACCACTTTTGAATAAAGATTATAAGCGAAATAATCGTTGGAATCTTTAAATTTATAATCGATAAATTCATCTGGGAGGAAAAAAAAACTTTCAATGTATGAATATTTCTAATATAAACAACATTGATTGATCAATTATATGTTGTTTTACGTCCGATTCGAGATTTTTTCACTCATATAGAAACGTAATCATATACCGGCAAAGGACTTAAAATTTAGACCTTTACTCGGCACTCAGGACCATTGAGCAGTGAGGATTCTTTATCGTGCCAACGCCTACCGTGACACGGGGCCTCGGTTTTTAAGGTTTCATCCGAGGACCCGCAGTTTTACTTCAAAGTGTCAATGGCATGGCGAAGGAACAGTTGCTACCATTCTTTATCGACTTCAGTAATTCGAACACACGATCTTCCGATCACGAAGCAACTCTACCGACTGAGCAGCCGTGACGGCTTAAACAACATTGAAAGATGAGCAAAACATCCAAAAGGTCTTTACCCTATTTTTCATAGGTATTGCACTCTTTTGTGTTCTTCATCGTGATGAACTATTAAGGGGTTGACCTGATATCGTACCCACATGGTCAGAATTTCATTTCATTTACTTTCATTCACTCCTCCATGGCACCTGATCCCACCACTGTTTATTTTAACTTCGTGTTTGCTCTGCTGATAAAAAAAATCGGTAATTGAATTAAAAATCTGTTTTAAAAAATGCCCCTCCAAAAGTTTTGATTCAAATTCAATAAAGCCTTTAGAGATTTCATTTTTTTTTATACAGAGTTTCAATTTTTAGATTGGAAAACATCAAGATGTATAGTTTTTAAAATGTGAAATAAACTTTAAAAAATAATTTCAAAGACAGGGAAAACATTTTATTTAACTATCTCAAGTTGAATACTACAGTTTACATCTAAACAAGTCAGTGTATATCAGTGTAACCACAGAGTCAATAGAGATCTCTGTTTCACCCTAACTTCCTATGATAAAGAACTCAAACAGTAAGGTAAAGGTGTTTTTTTCCTCGTCAATAAGAAAATAAGAATTTCTAGAACAAGAGGAAAATTTTTACTCATCTTTGCATCTAGAAATTACATGCTTCGAGACACTATGCACCTGCTTGACAAAGAATCTTTTTTCAAATATTGAATTTGTGTCGTGGATTTGTCACATGATCAATGTTTATTATTCGACGAAAAAGATAAAATGGCCAAAATGTGTAAAGATGAATTTAACTTAA